GAGCAACTTCCTATGGGTCTAAATCAGCTGCAACTGAAATGAACGACCAGAATAATAAAGAGATTGATGATTCTGGCAACAAAAAAGGAGAGGAAGAGGTAGAAGACACAGGCATGCAGGAGGAAGAGAAGGATTTAATGCCATCTGCTTTACCAAATACATCTCCAGAAGAAGTTGTGCAGGAATGGCTCAGTAAAATCCCTTCAGAAACGTTGCTTATGAAAGATGAAATGCAGGATGATGGGGTGGAAGAATGTACAGAGGCAACCACTGAAGTATCACAGTGTACAAATGCTGAGGAAACCCCAGAGGATGAAAAAGTTGAGGAAAAGAATGGGGAGGAGGCTGAAAATGAAGTAAAGGATGAAATGGAAGAAGAGACAGCAGAAGACATTGTCATTAATGAAGAGGCTGAAGAATGTGTCAATCAGGGAGAAATCTCTGAGGTTGTGTCTGAAGCTGTCAAAGCTGAGCAGGCAGAATGCAACCAGTCAGTTATATCCAGCCAAACCAACAACAGGAGAGACCTGCCAACCTCTGTCCAGACTTCTGTCCAGATCATGAAGGCCTTGCTCAGTTCCAAACATGAGACCAAATTTGACCGATCAAACAGTTTGCCTGAAGTGTCCCCCACGATGGGGAGGAAACTGAGTAACTCTGCCAACATTTTGATTACTTGTCTTGCCAGTCTCCAGCTCCTTGATGAAGAGTCAGAAGATCCATCAGATAACTCAAAAGCTTTGAGTAAGTCAAGGTATACAGAGCTGCTAAACCTCTTTCAAGCCCTGTGGTTTGGATGCACAGCTGAAAGGAGTGGTCCAAGTTCAGGTCAAGAGGCAAGTGAGCAGGCAAAGCCAACCAAACCTATGGATCATACCTTCACTCACATGTCCTCTTCTGGGGTTGATGTTTGCAGTGGTTCTGGTGGCTCAGGAGAAGAGTGTACAGCTGGTGCCACTTTAGTAGCACAGAAAACTGTGGAATTCAAATCAGCTGAACAAGTGGAAAATGCAGACACTGGGACTGAACTGACTGAGATGGCTGAGGCTGAGGCTGAGGCTGAGGCTGAGGCTGAGGCTGAGGAGCAAAACAAAGAGGAAGAGCAGCCATCCCACCCCTCAACTGCCTGCTCAAAGGCAAAAGGGGAGGAAAAAGCACAGTCTGCTAGAGAGGACTCTCTAGTTCAGGAGGAAGAGAATGAGAAGGATCAATGCAGTAATGGTGAACATGGTCAGGAGGAAGGGGGAGAAAATGAAACTGAAGAAACCAGCAAATTAGCTGAAACTGGAGAACAAGAAGAAGTTGAAACTGGAGAACAAGAAGAAGCTGAAACTGGAGAACAAAAAGTTGAAGCTGTGAATGATGAACCCCCACAAGAAAATCCTGAGGAGGAAGCTGCTCAGGCAGCCATCACTGGTGTTACAAATGCCAGTGACACTGACGGTGGGACAGAGCTGAAAGCTGATTTGGAAGAGCACCTTGAAAAAGAGTCACCAGGTGATCCAGAGCCCAAAGCCACATCCACCCGTGCGGGTGCACCCCTTGTCCAGCAAAACTCTGTGGATCCAGACCCAACGTGGGTCCTGCGGCTGCTCAAGAAAATCGAGAAGGAGTTCATGGCTCACTATGTCAATGCCATGAATGAGCTAAAAATCAGGTGGAACCTGCAGGACAACCAGCAGATGGATGAAATGATACTGGAACTGAAGGAGGAAGTGAGTAAAAGGATACAAAAAAGCATAGAGAAGGAGCTGAGGAAGATCAGAAGCAGAGCTGGGAGGAGGATGCCAAGACCTCCAGAGGAGCCACTCACCCCTGAGTCAAAACTCCAAACTGAGCAGAGGAGATGGAGATTGCAAACTATGCATAAAAAGTCACTCTTTGGTGACAAGAATGGCAACCAGAACAGGCTAGAGGACACTTTAGACTTATCCCTCAATCTAGATACAGATTTAGCACTTAGTGAAGCTTTGGAAGCCAGTTTGAGCAAACAATCAAGTGAGGAGGAATACTGCCCATGTGACTCTTGTGTGAGAAAAAAACTGGCCTCCAAGCCCACAAGAGCCCCCGTGGTGGCCACCAATGCCCCAGTCATGAAAGCATTTGATTTGCAGCAAATCCTGAGGGTGAAGAAAAATGATGTTGAGGAAACCTTGGTTGCAGAAGCAGCCCAGGACACCCAAGCACCTCTCAATGGTTCTGTGGAAGAAGCAGCAGAAAATGGTGATGCAAATGATGAGGGTGAAGCCCAGGCAAAGGAAACAGAAATGGAGAGCAAGGAAGAAAAGGAGAGACAAAATGGTGAGGTAGAGGAGGAGGTCAAAAATGAAGAAACCAAAGAAGAAGAGGCAGAAGAAGAAGCAGAAGAAGCAGCAGAAGAAACAAAAGAAGAGGAAGTAAAAGAGGAGGAGGAAGAGAAAGAGGATGAAGAAATCATTAAGGCAGAAGAGGAAGAGGAAGTAAAAGATGAGGAGGAGGGAGAAAAAAAAGAGGAGGAGGAAGGAAAAGAGGAAGAAGCAGAGGAAACAAAAGATGAAGAGGAACTAAATGAGGAGGAAGAGAAGGAGGAGCAGGGAGAGGGAGTGAAGGAGGAGGAAGAAGTAAATGAGGAGGAAGGGAAGGAAGAAGAGGAAGAAGCAAAAGAGGAGGAGGAAGGTAAAGAAGAAGAGGAAGAAACAAAAGAGGAGGAGGAAGAGAAAGCAGAAGGGGAGGATGAAATGAAGGAAGAGGAGGAGGAGGAAGGGAAGGTGGAGGAGGAGGAAGCAAAAGAGGAGGAGGAAGAAGGGAAGACGGAAGAGGAAGAAACAAAAGGGGAGGAGGAAATGGAGGAGGAGGAGGAAGGGAAGGAGGAGGAGGAGGAAGAAGGGAAGGTGGAGGAGGAGGAAGCAAAAGAGGAGGAGGAAGATGGGAAAGAGGAAGAGGAAGAAACAAAAGAGGAGGAAGAACTGAAGGAGGAGGAGGAAGCAAAAGAGGATGAGGAAGAAGGGAAGGAGGAAGAGGGGGAGGAAGGAGGGAAGGAGGAAGAGGAAGAAACAAAAGAG